TGATATCTGATGCGCGAAATTCGGCTTCCTGCAGCTGTTCCGTTAACATTTTCACTTCCTGTCTCTCTTTTCTGCATTGTCCTTCACAGGCCACACTTCGATCTGTATCCATTGTTTACAGGCTTTTGTGTTTGCTTATTTCTAGACACTATGTTAAGCCACATTTCTTACTAAATTCAGTTTTTTCCTTTTTTTAACGTAGTAAGTTGTTGTGCTTGCTTCTCCACTTCATCTTTCTGTGCTGGAATAAAGTGGAAAACATTCCTTTTAGACAGAATACACTTCCCCATCCAAATCCCAAGAAATCCTGCGCAAATGCATCTTAAAAACTGTGGAAATGTTCCAAATTTTGCAATTTGGAACTCTGCTTGGTTGAAAGATGAGTAGCAGTCAGTTTTATAGCAAATCTGTTGGATAGGAAAGATTTGTCTTCGTGGCCCCTTTTGCTATTTGCCCGATTTGAAAGTCCCGAAGCGTTGGGAACTTACCTTCAAAGTAGAGGCAGAATTCGAGCGGTACAGTTCGTATTACTGATTTTATAATATAACATGGGGGAAGCGCGTGTTTCATGCATGTAGAATACAGCAAAATAAACGTAAATATGTGTGGGCGCTCGATAGGGACAAGTAGTGTTTCAAGGGTTAACACTGAAGAAGCAGACTGGGAAAATTTTGAACCAGGTTCAGAGGGGCCACTAGTGCAGGGTAGGTTTTCTGAGGAACTGGAAAAAACGCTGGTGGGGGAGGGGAGAAGAGCATATGAAGTTCACGCAATTTTCGTCACAGTTGACACTTGCAGGCCGTTGCCAGTGCACGAGTTTTTAACATTTGGGTAGCAGTTAAAAGCAGTGCTTCAATGGTTTTTCAGTCCCAGTTTGATTGTTGCTGTGTCTCAGCCCAGGAGAATGGCCAGCCCTTCATTCTGCTACTGCAAAGCAATGCAAATACGGGGTGGGAATTTATCGGACGCTCGGTTGTGGGTCCCACTAGTTCTTGAGCAATATCCGAAACTACTGGAAAGTTTGTTGACGGCGTAGCAAAATTTTGCGCTGTTGGCGGGTTGCTTCTGTTTTTTTGCGATCGTATATGCGGTCGATGTATTCGCGTGTAAGTCGCAGCTCTTCTGGTTCCAGATAATTCAGAAAGAGTGCGAAGATCTCGCTCTGACCGTAGATGAATGCGTCAGTAATTACCCTGAAAAGAACTGGATAATGCTAGAAAATGAGTCGTGTTGTATAATTGCTGTTGTGCAATTTTTGTGCAAATAGCGCCCAAATTTTTAACAAAAGTAGGGACATACACACAAGCAAACACAAACATACACACCTGGGCGTTTTGTCGTCTCACACTCACATTCAAGCCTATCAGTTTTCAGTGCTACGAGATTTAACACATTTTTGCACTTTTTAGCTGGTTTTGTTATTTCCATAGCAAATTTTTCAACTTCAACTTTTTATAATAAATTAACGATTTTACACTATCTTGCAAAGAAGGGGGGTGCTCTCTTCCACTTTTCTCTGCCCCGGTTGTGTCATCAGTGCTAATTAATATTGATCCTCTTCCTACGAAGAACACCTACACTTTCGTTGACCATCTTTGTTTGAGGAAATGTGTTAGTAATAAACAAACCTAAAATTCTCCATTTTAAGCATAGTGCTGCGTAAATGAGGACAGCAGTTTTCCAGGAGAAATCTGAGTTTGCGCATAGCCTCTTCCCGCATATCCTTATCATCGTCCTATAAATTTATGTCACAGTTGCTACTAATTACATAAATGCTAATTTGCATTGGCTCTGAGGTGAAATTGCTTTTGGCTTGTAGAGTTCTTCACACTTCAATAGCTTTTCTGTGGATACAGTTATCTAGTGCGCCAAATTGTAATTTCAGAGCAACGTTTCGCGAAACAGTAACACCCGTGTTCCTTTTGCCTTTATCCGGTCACTCTCTGCTCGTTTCCACACCAGAATGCATGAGATGCAAATTACCTGGAGGGTGTTTTGAAATATTTGGAAGAATGTGTTGCGAGTGATGCGTGCAAGTCCAACTGCATTAAGTGAGCACAGCCGATCGCACAAAAAACGCATAACTTCACGATGTTGTGCTTTCAGGCATACTCTTCTCCACTGAAGTAGGCCTACAAAAGTAGGTCTGAGTCACAGGCAAATCCACCAGTGGTGCACTCACAGACTGCCAGGATTGTACATAAGGGAAAGAGCTGAGTCAGGAAGAAAAAAGTTTGATTGAGAATACACAGTAATGATCTTAGCTTGAGAATATTGCGGTAAAAAAGCTTAACTGAGGCGAAAAAAATTTAAACCCAGGCTGGAACGCACCAGGCGAGCCGATGCGATCATGCGTTTTTTCATCAAACTTCGAAGTACCGTCTCTCATAGAGGGGGAATGAGGAAGAAAGAAGGAGGCTCCACATTAAGAAGGGGGTTCCAGTTTTATTTGTTAGGGGGTTTTTCTTTACTTTTTTTTGAAGAAGGGAGTGGGGGAAGGGGCGTTCGGGGGTTTGTCGGTGTTGCGAGAGATGGCGAAATTAGGATGCTTCAGCTCGCTCTAACTCCCAAATTTGCACGTATGAGTTAAAATTGGGGTAGATGTATTACGCAATAGCAATTTTTTCGAATGATGGGACTAGCCGGTTGCACTGCGTCCAGGAAGGTCGCATTGATCCGCTGGACAAATGGTAACTCAGGCTGGAACGCATCAGGCGGGCCGGTGCGATCATGCGTTTTTGCACTTTTCGTGCGGTAGCAAGTTCGCAACAAATCACAGTAGCTA